ATATTTTTTGATAAAATGTTACACTAAAATATAAAACTATAAATAGAAAAATATAATTAAATATTACAATACAAACAAAATATTTTAAAATATTTTAAAGATTATCTTGATGTTTTTTAAAAAACATATACAAATTTTAAATTTATAAAAATAATTTTTAATTATTTATGAAATAATAATTTTTAAATATTAAAATGATAAATAATAAATATTTAAGTTTATTATAAATATGATGTGTAATTGTAAGGACGACCAACATGCAAATAAAATATGAAACTTCAAATTTGAAATTTGAATAGTGACATTCTATATTTAAAATTTCACTACTCAAAACTTCAAGTTTAAAGTTTTAGAATTCATTTTTGGAGAGATAAAAACTCCATATTTAAAATTATAAAGTGTCTTTTGAAGATGCTCTAACTACTTCATGCATATAAAAAGATGTCACTTGGGAATTACATAAAGAAAACCTATAAATCTTAAAATTTGATTGCGATTGTCCCCAAAAATACTTGTCATAATTTAACATAAATTTGTTAAAAGTTATGTGAAATATGCCAATAATTTAATATTTATATATAGAACCTAGCAAACTAAATTAAAAAAAAAAAACTTGAAGCAATGATAAACACATCAGTCATGACTTCGATTACAGGAATGAGGTTATCATTTGTTTACGCAGACGATTCGATGTCATGCTTTAAACCTCAGTTAGAAAATTTGGGGTTCGATTATTCGTCAATATCAATCCCCTGGGGATTATTTGGACATCTACACAGACACTTACAGTTATAACTTATAACAGCTGTAATTAGTCCACATAAATTTTATTTTAAAATCTCAATATTCTAAATGTTATGATGCTATAATAAAGCTACAATATTCTAAAGATGCAAAAAAATCGGTAGAAATAAAACATTCAGTTATATCGATCACATCGTTTGACATTAAACTGGTTACAGATTGCTCTTAACTACTTTCTCTCTCTTATTATTGTTCAACTACTTTGTTTTCCTCTCAAGCCCTACATATATTTATATCTATATTTCCTTAGAATTCTATTTCTATAAACCGAAATGATAACCCTTTCACAAAACGTCCCAATAGTCATCCCAAAGGGCATAGCACGTATCATATCAAATAGACTCCTTTCTTACTTGTTTGCTTCAAAATTATACCCCATGTTCATGCTTGCTAAACATATTGAACCATTATGAAACATATATTACTAAAAACACTTATATCTTGATTAGTAATTAAGTTTAGTCAAATGAATCTAGATTGAGTATATAGAACGGAGTGAGTGAATTAAGAGAAGCTCAAGTGTCTCTCTTTTACCAAAAAAAAAAAGATCAAATGTCTCCACAGCAAAAGGAAAGTGATACTGTAAGTAACAGTGACTCATATTTACATACACATGAAAATTTATTGCTGGGTGATCGATTAGTGTATAAATTTAAGAGGGTACGATCAGCAAGTTATTCATGAGGATACGATGTTGTCTAATGAAAAAACAAACATAAATGATGTTACTTAGACGACAGCCAACCCATGACTTCCGCATTAGTTGGATTCAATTAAAGATTTAATTAGAGGCCAAAACTTGAACCTAATCATTGTATTTGGATGATAATATTAATAATTATGGGCTCACTAATTCTACGCATTTGTGGTGATTATATGTTATACTATTTATACGTGATTCATTAATAACATTTTATTCTCCAAACTATATATAATGTTATCACCAATATCGTTCAATAATGGTTTCTTGGTATCACATCGTTCCAATAATTAGATCCACACAACTGTAAAATTTTTATTAGAAAATTTCATAACTTTAATTTTGTATGTGCTGGGACGTATATACATACATACATACATACAAATGAGTATATAACATGAAAGTGTTATATATTTTAATATTTTACTAATTTGTTATAGACGGTAAGATTATAACTTCTTGTGAAAATTTTGACCAAAAAAAAAACTTCTTGTGAAAATTAACAATAGAAAAGTCACAGTCCCTGTGGTCCAAACCTTAGAGCATCCATATCAATAATCCCCTCTTGGGGTTCATTGAATTAATTTTATATTATTAAAAATTTTCTTTTTTTTTTTGATTATTTTTTCTTTTTTAAAAAGAAAAAAAAAATCAAAATCAATCCCGGATCGCCACGTGGTGAACCTTAGGAGAGAGGGATTCATCGAGAGAACTTTAGGAGAGAGGAGTTCTTTTGTTATTTTATTATTATTTTTTCTTGATTTCCGTGTGAACTCCTTCCATAAACCCTCAATGAAGGTGCTCTTACTCCTAGGTTTCGCCTAAAATGTTATTGAAAGAAGGCTTAATGCTTGACAAACTGAACAATGTTACTGTAATTGTTTATATATTGAAAGAAGGCTTAATGCTTGACGATTAAGGTTCTAAAAAGGTTTGAATTATATATATGCTTGGTTATCATCATTTTGAAAAAATACAGGTCGAACGCCCATAAAAAAAAAATATTAGTAAGATACTAAATGGTATATTAAACCATATCCTTTTATTTCGTGTGTACGTATAAAGTAAAAATGATTTTATAATAATAGTATAAGATAGCTATATTAATAATCATCAAATTACAAATATTCACATATAGACCAGTATATGAAAAAATTAGAATTAATCGCTTAAAACATAGAGATAGATCTATATATATTTATTGAAATTGTTCAAAGTGATAAACTGATAACAAAGAGAAACAACGTTCGTGTCCAACATTAACCAAAAAGGAAAATAACGTTGGCATTCAACAACATTCGTGTTTACTCTAGAACATAAAGCAAAGAAAAAGAATGAAGAAATTACATCACTTCTATTTGTCCCTATATAAAACTCTTTACAAAAAAAACATTAAAACAATACACCTAAATGAGTTAGGGCTGAGCTGGCAAGTTTGGATTATAAAAGCGAACGTAGGATGGGAGCCACGAACAAGTTGCAAGATAAGAAAAAATAAAGGTTAATTACTTATGAAAATTAAAAAAAAATTAAGAGAACATTTGTTTAATTAAAAGTGTTTGTAAGTCTCTTTAATTGTAGTTTACATATGAAGAAATTGGCCTTGGCAAAGCGTAGATCTGAGCCAGACGATAATGTTTTTTGGGACAAATAAAGTTGGTTTCCCTGTTTTCTAATATTATCTTCACATGATCACACCAAGACAGACACAAAACACATAGTATACTCCTTTATATATAAACATTTATTCTACAAACCATTAACACAAAATTAAGGAGAAAACAAAGAAACATACTTCATACTTTCTCTGGACAAAACCCTTAACCAAACAAACATGGAAGATCAGTTTCCTAAATTGGAATCTAGCTTCATGCATGAAAAGCTCTTGTCTTCTGGATTCTATGGGTTCCTAAGTTCCTCGACGCCACCGCAACTTCTCGGTGTTCCAATAATTTTGGAAGGTATGATATCTCCCCCTCTTTCATCGTCTCAAAGCTACTTCAAGTCTTCTCATGAGCTCACTTCTTCTATCCATCAACAATCTCCAGTAACTTCTGTTCCTTGGAACTTTCTAGATTCTTTTCCTCAATCTCAACGTCCTGATGTCCATCATCCTTCTAAACCCCCAAACCTTTCCTTGTTCCTCAAAGAACCAAAGCTTCTAGAACTTTCACAATCCAATAACAACATGATGCCTCACCACCATAACTATATCCCAAACACTCTCTATGATCAGTCGGATCAAATCAAAAGCGAGTGGGTCGATATTAATAAAGCCCTTACAAACTATCCTTCAAAAGGGTTTGGAAACTATTGGCTAAGCACCACCAAGACTCAGCCTATGAAGCTTGCGTCAGGGACAAGAACAAGAAAAGTTGTTCAGACGACGACAACACCAACTAAGCTGTATAGAGGAGTGAGACAAAGACACTGGGGGAAATGGGTGGCGGAGATTAGGCTTCCAAGGAATAGAACTCGTGTTTGGCTAGGCACCTTTGAGACCGCTGAGCAAGCAGCAATGGCTTACGATACTGCAGCTGATATCCTTCGTGGCGAGTACGCACACCTCAACTTTCCCGACCAAAAACACCAGCTTAAGTCTGGTCCCTTGCGATGTATGATCACCTCTCTTTTGGATTCGAAGATACAACAAATCTCCGCCTCCCAGACAATAAGTTCTGCTAACTCTCCTTCTTCTCCTCAAGTGGGAACATTAATGGAGGCCAAGAATAACATCAAGACGGAGTCAGGAGAAGTTGTGATGATGAAGAAACAGAAAAGCAATAAGGAAGTGATGGAAGGAGATGGCGTACAACTGAGTAGAATGCCTTCGTTGGATATGGATCTCATTTGGGATGCTCTCTCCCTTCCTCATTCTTCTTGACTTTAAAATTAATGTCACAACCTTTTTTTTTTTTGTCAACAATGTCACAAGCTTAATTACTTTTATGTCTTTTCTTATATGTATGTTAAAGAAAGAAATTCTTATTTTGATGCCAAGATTCAAGATTGGTTAGCATTCGGGGTTGAACACATTGTATTTCTTCTCACAACCACATAATCAAGTGGTTCTCCTTTTCTTGTTTGCTAATTAAATGTTCTTTTCTATACGGTTAACAGTAACCATACAATTGAAAAAGTGTTTGTTTTTAAATGAGAAAATGTTTACTTTAAAAGTCTGTTGCACCAACTCCAACTTCAAAATTCAATATACTATAATATTTCCTACATTCTATATTAAATTATTTACGCTCAAAGGTCAATATAGTAGTATAGGTCAGAGAAGAGTTGAAGGGCAACTATGAGCTCCAAAGTTTTTTTTTCCTTGGACTTCCTATCAATCAACTATAATATTCTTTTAAACAAATATAAAAAAATGTGTCCTTTTCCTTAAATTTTAAACGGAATGTCTTATTTTGAAAGGAAATAAAAAAGTGAAAAAGTGTAAGGGTTAACGCAAAACAGAAAATGACAAATGTCATAAAGATGGGAAAGAGAAGGTTTTCCGACCATCTAATAATTAAAGACCGCCACAAAAGCGTCACAATTCAGCTCGAAACGACACCGTTTATGGTACAATGTCTTGAGACAAAAACTCTTAACAGATCTCATTATCCAAGCAAAAAACCAACATTAGAGTTTGGCAGACATTGTGCAAACTACAATGTGTTGCCCTGCCCATACTGTATATTTAAGTTGTGTTATGCCAGTAAATTCATACCTTGTAGTTTCAACTTTCAAGCGCTATGCAGGTCCAATGACATAGACATAGCTTTTACCTGCCAAAGAAAGATGATATACAGACATCATTAACCATTTAAAAGGCCAAATTATACAACATTTTCAACCACTTGTTAAGCCAACAAAGCCCTGAAAACATATATTTAGCATTCTTTCGTCCCTCAGAAGTAATCAAACAACAATGAACTCACCATAGTGGAAGAGGGGCTTGAAGAGTTGATAGGTTCCGATCTTCTAGCCTCCCAAAACCGACTTGTTTTATCTCCAAAACTGATCTTCTCTCTGCCCTTCTGTACAGCTCTTAAACGTCCTCTCAGCAAACCAACTTCACTCTCTATTTTCAGTCTCTCATAGTCAACAGCTGACATTGAGTTTCTGCGCATATTTGGAGACAAGATCCTTTGTCCTTGTGGACACGTCGGTGGAAGCCCACAACCTAAAACACTTTGTGATCTATCCAGTTTGAGATCACGTAAGACATGGTCCGAAGGAACATTCAGTTGCACTTTGTTATCTTCATCTTTCACCACATAGATATCATGTACACAACAATCAATGTCGTGGGAGTCCTCACCAACATTCTTAAACTCAGCCAATGGTTCTGAAAATGAAGTGCCCTCCTCTCGTTCTTGCTGTTCTGTAACAATCTCTGGACCTTGGTCTACTCCATTGACCTTCATTTCCTCATCATAATCAAGAATACGATTGTCCATCTGATTAGTGAAGATCTCAAATCCAAAAGAGTCAGTCGTCTGTTGTGGTGTTTGCAATCCTGGTTTTGAATCTGGTGTGATGGGAAGAGGTTGCTCAGTCTCAAGAAACATTTGTCTGTAAGTGTCAACTTCTTTCTCCAAGAAATGTTTCTCCCTCTCCCTCCTCAGCAAGATTTCTTTGAGAATGCTCATCTCTTCAGAGTCAAAAGCAGACTTCTCCTCTATCATCCGCTGATACTGCCTAGCTTCCATCTCTATCGACGCTTTCTCCTCCTGTAGCCTCAATATCATACCTAAAGCCTCGTCCGCGGCAGTGGCCGCAGCATTTCTCTCTTTCTCGAGTTCTAGAGCTAATGCAGCACGAGAAGCTCGTTCTTCCGCAAGCAACTGTTCAAGACTCTCATTCCCCTCTCCCGCCCATGAAAGTGTCCTCTCTGGTTGTTTGTTATGAGCACCCTCTTCACACCCAATTGAACAAAGTGAGACACTTTTCCTCAACGAAACATCCTCCAAGGCTTTTCCACAATCTACATATTGTCACAATAAGTTATCAAAGAAAACAAGTTTGCAAACAAGAAACACTCAGCTATAAGGTAACAACTACTGACCTTTGGAGTTAGCAAGAAGAGGATCGTTCAAACAGTCCATGACGCTTGCAGGTGAGTTCTTACTTTTGAGACCATACGGTGGTGACCTGTGGAAGCTCAGACGCTTACTCTTAACTTTAAAACTTCCTTTCTTCAAACTCTGCGAAGTTAGAAGATCGAAACACGAAGCCTTCTCAACCTCCTTCACAGGACAAGGAGTACCAAAGACCTCTTTCTCAAACTCAACGTCTCCTTTTCTCTTCTTACCAACGCACTCACCATTTGCTTCTTTATACAGAACTGAATCAAAAGGTGTTTTATTTCTCACGGATCTTTGCACAGAAGAGACCTTTTCCACAGGAAGATTCACTAAAGTCTGTTGGAAACACTTGTTCTTAAGAGGGTCACTGAACATGCCATCACAAGGGCAAGGGAGGTTCAAACCGAATACACCGAGCAGCTTGGAGGTTAAGTAAACGAGAGAAGAGGCGCAAAGTAGCGAGAAAGCTACAGAGAGATCAAGAAACGCCCCCACTATACCCGGAAATGTCCAACCTCTTACCTCATGGCAACGCATTTTTTTTTAACCTGCAACAAGACAAACTTGAATTCAGAAATTTGTTAGAATTCAATTTACATTTGGATAAATTTCCAAAAGATCTAAGCCATTTTTTAAAACAAACTGAACATTTAAAAAATATAAAATCTCTTTTAAAATTAAAACAAAAAGTTTATATACAATCTAGACTAATATAGTAACAACCACAATGAATCAATCGTTCGTGATTTCAAGCAACTAAAAAAACAATTATTCACTTCAAATAAACAAGAAAACTGTCGATTCTATTACATATCAAGTTGTAAGTACTACAAATTTCTCGAGAGAATAAAACTACGAGATGGAAATCGAGGAGGTACGGAGTGTAATTTCAGAACAATCAAACCAGAAACTCACCGAGGTTTACTATCGTTCTCCAGAGACACGCTTGCGACTCGATAAATCTGTAAAATCAGAGAATAAAGCAATAAAAACTGCCACAGAGAAGAAGAAGTTGAACAACGTAAACTCTTCCTCTTCCGTTTCTTTTTTTTTCTATTCTTTCAAAACTAAAATCCATTTCAAACTTCAGTTGAAAATCAGCCTACGAGTGAGTTGATACGCCGTCGTTTACGCGCCGACCCCATCTCTTTCTTTCTTGAGATTGGTGTTTTTCAATTAATTGTTTTTAATTTTTACACGTACGCATCCACAAATCTAAAATCTGTGCGTGTACAATTAATGTATGTGTTACGCGGTTTGCTAAAAAAAGAAGTCTGTGTTACGTATATACTAATAAACATTTATATTGAAAATCCAATCTATAGAATGTGGAGATGAATATGATAATTTTGGCGGACGCCTTAACTAAAGGGGTTTGGAAAATAAATTGAACTATACTGAGATAATGGAAAGGTTCCACCGTAGGTTTAGGGGATTCAATATAAAACTTCTACCAAAATTGCTGGCAAATTCTCTTGTGAAGAGTTATTAAAGGATGAGGTCAAATTCTCTTGTGAAGAATTATTAAAGGATGAGGTCATGAGTTCGGAGCGCACCAACAATCTTATTATGGAGTTAATGAGTACTCATAAGGAGGGGTTAGAGTCGATGCGCTGCAACGCTGTGAGCTTCTACAAGATGGATTGTCACACATTGTTTCTCTCTCTTCTCTGCCTATCTCACTGAATCTTTCACAGAAAAGATGAGATGAAAAGCTTTTTTTTGTTTAAATCTTTTGGATCTAATATTTTTTGTATTATAGGTTCGATCTCTAGATCGATTTTAATCTTCGACTTGTCTGATTTCTTGTGTTCGCTTTGGCAATTGTGCTTTCGCGATGGCGAATTTTGAAGTGGTTCTTCGGTTGAGTTTTGGGCTGTCCTAAGCTCTTATTTTCTCAGAAATCAACTGATGAAAATAAATACCAATTATTCGTTGATCGGTTATGTTTTCCCTCTTTCAAAATAATTTATATCTCATTTTGCTTGGATTTGAATCTCTGCTCTTTAGATTATCCTCAAAATCCTTTTCTACGAATATCAATATTTCTCTATTAAAAGTTCATTTGTCTATGATTTTGACTCTCAGATGGAAGGGAGGATGTAGATGTTGGAATATTTTTGATCGGTGTAAGAGTGTTTCAGTAGAGTTGGCATCATAGATAGTCAAAATCTTCTCCTAAATCAATTAAGTGTTTCTTGAGTTTTAACATTCGGAGGAGCTTGAGTTTCTTATTTGAAGAAATAAATTGTGACGACTGAAAATTATTGTTCTTGTCCTATTTAAATAAAATTAAATCAAGAAGTAATCAGATTTATCACATATGCTTAATGTTCATTAGCTGAATTTTAGTTTGACTGATTTTTTTTCAGATATATATCTGCATGTGAAATTTTTTGGAGAATTCTTGCTTTTCTTACTTACTATCGAACTGCATTAGTAGGAAAACTACCATTCCATCTCCCAGGTCAGCAACTGATTATTTACAATAAAGATGACCTTGTTGAAGAAGTAATAAACAAAATTTCTGTCGGAAAATCCAAGTTTGTAACATGGATAGAGGCCAGTAAGATATATCCACAAGCAAAAAAACTCACTTATTCAGATTTCCCATCGTATTTTGTTTGGCATCTAAAAACCAGAATGTGGAAACCAAGGCGGAGGGGGTTCGCTATTGGAAGGATCACTTATGTGCCACCATCTTTAGGGAAGTGTATTATTTACGCATTTTGCTAAATATAGTCAGGGGTCCAAAAAACTTTGAAGAGATAAAAACAGTAAACGTATCCACGAGACATACAAAGATGCATGTTATGGACTGGGTTTGCTGGACGATGATAAAGAATATATTGAAGCTATTAAAGAAGCAAGTCTTTGGAGTTCGGGAAAGTATCTACGAAAGCTGTTTTCTATAGTATTGCTTTCAAAGAGTGCCACAACTCTAGCAAACGTATGGAATAATACATGGGAAATACTATCTGAAGATACATAATACAACCAGAGAAAACAAAAGAAGAATCCCCGTAAGATCACATTTAATACCAATTTTTTTTAGTAAATATATCTATCCTTTTATGTTTGCGTTTGAATTCCATCTTTTTTTTTTTTGCTTTCATATTTGACTTTATCAGAAGATCAAATTAAGAGTTTGGATTTGGCGGAGATTGAATCAGTCACACGTATCAGTGGAAGCTCATTAGCCATGTTTAAAAGTATTCCACGTCCAGATGCTTATGCGTATAATGTTGATGTTAACACTATGATCAGTGATGAGCTAAACTACCACCATGATGAGCAAAGAGAAAAAAATAGAGAGCTATTAGCCAAGATCACAGATGAACAAAAAGTTGTGTACCAAGAGATACTAAATGCAGTAAATGGTGATAAAGGTGGTATGTTTTTCGGTTATGGCTTTGGAAGGATTGGAAAAACTTTTCTTTAGAACATCCTAGGTGTTGCAGTTCGATCTTTATGATAAATAATATTGAACGTGGTATCTAGCGGAATTGCTTTATTTCTTTTTCCAGGTGGCCGGACAGCTCACTCAAGATTTGGAATACCAATTAATGTGAGCAATTTTACAACATGTAAAATGAAAAAGGATTCAGATCAAGCAGAATTGGTACAACAAGCTAAGCTCATAACTTGGGATGAAGCTCCCATGATGAACAATTAATGTTTTAAAACTGTGGATAGAAGCTTGCGTGACATAATGGGATGCGATGAAGCTTTTGGAGGTGAAGTTGTTGTTTTTGGAGGAGACTTTAGACAGATTCTACCGATAGAAGCAGATGGTGGTGGAGTAGAGACTGTTTTGGCTTCTCTGAATTCATCATATCTCTGGAATAGCTGCAAGGTTCTAAGACTTACAAAAAAAACATGAGACTTATGGCAGGAAATACCAATAGCGAAGCTAAGGGAACTTGAAGTTATTTCTAAGTGGATTCTAGATATTGGTGAGGAAGTATCAATCAACCAAACGATGAAGAGGTTGAGATCAATATTCCTGAAGATCTGCTGATAACTGAGTACGAAAATCCTATAGAAACCATAGTGAAAGAAGTTTACAGAACATCATTTGCAGAGAAACAAGATCGCAAGTTTTTCTAGGAAAGAGCTATATTGAATCCATGAAATCAAGGTGTTGACAGTTTCAGCGAGTATGTTTATTATATCCACGTGGACGGATCACTTAGTAAAATTGTATTTTCCTGGTATTTAAAAGTATTCTGCCATAAAAGTTGACAAAAGAATTAGAAACTCGTTTCTTGGCAACATTGAAGCTTCACAAACATTAGGACACTTTTTCTTTTTGCACAATCAACGATTCATTAATCTATCTATACACATGTATAAGCCATAAAAGATATGAGCCTTCAAAGGATAGTGAATGTTAACTCTTGTAAAATACAAAGAAACAGAGCAAAAACTCTGTATAAGCAACTCGTCCTCAAGAATAGTTGTGTCACTGCAATATCTAAGTGAATTCACCAATTATCTAGACTGTACATAACCTTCACGTTGCTCAAGTATATCTTCTAGTATCACATTATCTATAAGAGGCAAGTGAGCTACCAAGATTTGGATCTTACCAGTAATCTTTACATGAACAAGCGCCTCCTTCAAAATGATGAAACCTATAGGCATCCCTCACTATTATTTCTCGATTTGAAACCTTTGATACAAACTTGATCCAATCATGGCAATCGTTGCAGACTCGTAGGTTCTTCATTACATTTACAGGCATCGTAGAAGGCAAGCTAAGGAGTCCATACGAAATCGCTAGTTTCTCGCTGTGAATGAAGATGGCCGGATCTTTTGCCTCTTGCTGCGCTTCATTCAGGAGGCTGAAACAGTCTTGCACATACCCCATCTCAGATGCTTGCTTGGTAAGATGTCTGAAATATTCATGTATTTCATCAGCCAACGGATGATTCTGGTCACCAACATAGAAAGGGTGAATTGTGTTTCTAACTTCAATCCAGCTTTGTCCAGGTTCTTTCTTCACACCCTTCTCTTTCATCTTCTGTCTTGTTTTATCCCTAGCGTCCCATTTCTTGCACACAGCATACAGATTTGAGAGAAGCACATATGTTGCCGAGTCTTCAGGTTCTAACTCTACGAGATAATGTGCAGCGAACTCTCCTATTTCCAAGTTCTTGTGCACAACACAAGCACTCAAAAGCGTTCTCCAGACCAAGGCATCAGGCTCAATAGGCATCTCCTCAATAAACTCCTTCGCACGGGTCAAAAGACCAGCTCGTGTTAGCATGTCCACTACACACACATAGTGTTCAGGCTTAGGAGCTAATCCATATTTTGTGTTCATGCACTCAAAATATTCAATTCCCTGGCCCACCAGACCTATATGGCTACACGCTGATAGAACTCCCACAAGTGTCACATGATTCGGCCTTACATTAGAACTGATCATCTGGTCGAAAAGATCTAGTGCTTCAGAACCAAACCCGTGTTTAGAATAAGCATTAATTATCGCATTCCAAGAAACTTCATTTCTCGTGGAGGTTTCTAGGAACTGCTTCTTTGCATCGGAAATGCTCCCACACTTGGCATACATAGAGATCAAAGCGTTACAAACTTCCGTTTCTGCATCATATCCTGTTTTGGTGACCACAGCATGAACCTGCTTCCCTTGTTTCATGTTTGCTGTCTCCGAAGCAGCTTTTACAGCAGACCCAAACGTGAAATTATTACTGTCGATTCCTTCCCTTTTCATTCGAGCAAAGACACGAAGTGCTTCCTCATTGTTTCCGCTCTGCTGAAACCCTGATACCAGAGCGTTCCATGCTATATTATCTCCAGCTTCAGTTTGTTCAAACGCTAGATAAGCCTCCTCTACTTTTCCGCATCTGGAATAAAGTGTGACCAGTGCATTTTGGAGGGGCAGGTCAAATGAGAAACCAGATACACAAGATTGAGCATGAATCTGCTGTCCTTCCTTTAGTGATTGAAGACCAGCACATGCACTAATTGCATTTGTGAATCCAACTTCATCAGACCGGATCCCAAGATCTAGCATCTGCCTGAAAG